GCCAATATGCTGGCACTGCTGAACACTGCAATTAATTTCTTCCTCTACTGTTTTATTAGCAAAAGATTTCGCACAATGGCAGCTGCCACCTTGAAGGCCTTCTTTAAGTGTCAGAAGCAGCCTGTGCAATTCTATACAAACCATAACTTTTCCATAACAAGCAGCCCTTGGATTTCCCCAGCCAACTCTCACTGCATCAAAATGCTTGTTTACCAGTATGATAAAAATGGAAAGCCTATAAAAATATCACCATGAAAAGGCCAACAGTTGGAGTTTCTGGGTGCAAGTTCTTTTCAAGTGGTTACATCTTCAGGATGTAATTTTCTGAAATGGCTGTTTTGAAGAGAAGTCATTTGATTTCATTTCCCTGGGTGGCCAGGGGCAGAGCAGACTGTCGGGAGGAAACAGGAGCACTCGATTTTAGGAGCAAAAGTGAGAAGGCAAACACCTCCATCTCTTATATAGCACTTTGAATATGCTTCAGAGTTCAAGTCTTAGTGTTCAGTCACACCCAAATGTTTTGCATCCCAACGCCAGTGCAATCCAAAGTCATCCGAAGGGCAAAGCCACAGCAGTGTTTAATTACAACCTTTTAAAACACAACAAAACCTTACTTGACCATCAGTTTGCTATCGAGAAAGTAAATGGATGCTTTTGTGTACTGTGGAAGGTGCCATTTCTGGAGCATCCACTTGCCAAAAATTCTATGTTGATTCTGGCATGAAATGCTGGTGCACACAGTTGTGCTGTCAAGACCTCCTTGCCGAGGCAGCCTGTGAGACACAAATGGTGACAAGCCTGGTTTTGGCTCATCTGAACAAGGCTCGAGGACCATTGCAGTACCTGTTGCAGCCTTGGCATGGAAAGCAATCCTGCAAGCTGCCAATATTTGCGTGTTTTAAGTTGTTATTTAAGAATGTGACTGAGACGGGAGCTCGAGGGAGGGAGGGAGGGAGGGATGTTTCTAGAGCCAAGAACAAAGGCAGCATCTTTCCCCAACTCTTTCAGTCATGGTGTCTAAGGACTGTCAAGGGTGAAACCAAGGCCTGCCTAAAGCAGAGCTCTCACCAGAGCTGCTCCTGTGAGCAGTGATCAGAGCCTTCAAATTCCTTCTTAATCAACAGATTCTCAGTTATCCCCCATGTTCAGGCCTTAAGGGATTAACATATTAAAACCTCAACTTAAGATTTTCTCCTGATGGATTATGCCATCCTATTGCAGATTTTCCATTTAGTTGTTTAAAATACCCAAACAAACTGTGAAAGAAATTCATTAAATACCCAACAGCAGTAAAAACATTAAAGCCTTAGTTTCAGCTGATCTAAGTATTTCACTTATTTAAAAGAGGTTAGCTTCTCTTCCTTCACTCAAAAACCAGCATCCCATCAATGCTGAGTGTAGAAAATAAGAGATTTACAGGATGGCTGAAAATGCATTTATTTTCATTTCTTTCCCTTTCAGATCTTGGCATGTGGTCTCTTGGAGCCATGTGCCACAATCTCTTTATTCTACACTGGGCACTTTCTAGAGCCAGGGAAGATGTGTGGTGAACAAGCGTGGTCAGAGCACAGAGCAGCTCCTCAGGAGCTGCAGATCAGGGGTAGCTTGGTGCTAACACTGTGTTTGTGCCTGTGCCCATCTCCAGTGCCAGCAGGGAGCTCGTGGAGCATCAGGAACCAGCACAGAGAGGTCCTCTGAGGAGGGATCCAGTCAGTCCTGCTATGGTGGGATTAGAGGGCTGAAAACATCTCTAAAACACATGGATGGCTCAGCTTTGGTGCAAACCCCGAAGAAATGCCAAGGGAAGTCCAGCTGAGGACAAGAGCCTGGTTCCCTTCTATCACAAAGGTGGTGTATGCTCAATGCCTGGTACCCACGTCCTGCAAGAGCCAACCCCCCCAAACCTGAGCTCACCTTCTCCAGAAGGGAATGGCAGCAGGAGGCACAGGCCATGAAAACCAGGCAAAGGCATGGAGGAATGTTCCCAGAGAGATCCAGGCTCGCTCAGGAGCAGAGAGGGAATGCCCAGGGCCCTCCCAGTGACAGAACTGCCCAGCAATTCTCTACGAGGTGCTGAGGCACCCCAGGGACCACGCAGAGCAAGGACAGGGGCATGTGGGGAGATGGGGCTGGGAGCAAAGCTGACCCTTCCCACCCTCACCACCAAAGGGATGGTGTCCATTTAAAAGCCCCCAAAGAGAAGTGAGGAGCTTCTCAGTCTGTTGGCTGTTCATCCTTGTGATCTCAAAGCTTCACCCTTGCAATAATAAAGTGTAAAAGGGATGCTCAGCCTTGCTGCATTTGTCGTGACAAGGTTAAAATTATTGCTCCCTTTATAGTGTTTTACAGAAAATCAGTTTTGTGGCTGTCCTCCCTGCCCTTCTCTCAGAAACCTCCCTTTGGTCTTGGTCAGTTGGTAGTAACCAAAGTTACCTTATGGAAAAGGTACTGTATGTTTAATTTTGGAAAAACGTTGTATTTATAACTTATTTTTATTCTACATTTGTTATGAGGAATGCTTATCTGAGTTAAATGTGAATGAGTCTGAAGTGCAATATCTATATAGATAAGTGGTTCATTTTTGAGAATGTGTCTATTGAAAAAATACCTATTTATACAAGAAGTTCACTATTCTACTTAATATCATAGTAACCTTAAAGAAGATAGTGAATGTTTAGGGCTTTTATTTATTAAAAAAAAATTCAATTAAGTGCATGGCATATGCTGCCATTCACATGCTGTGACTTACTAATTTTTCTAACATAATGTTTATCCTGCAGACTATCAGTGTCATCTGATTTTCTCTGTTCTGATAATGTATTTTTGTAAATTAACATATTTAAAAACAAAAATCTTTCTGTGTAGTTTTTTTCCCTATGAAAAATAATGCATTAAATTCTTGTAACTTATTTGGAAAAACTCACAATTGTTTTCCATATCCTTTTAGAAATGACAAGGTGCAATTTTCATGTACAGTGGATTGATCATTTCACTTCTGATAATTTAGGGCTTTAAAAGCTTGCTTCCAAAGCCCTTTGAAGTCAAAGGGAAGGTTGCTAGTGGGTTTTGTGGTTGGTTTTTCCAATCCCCATCATTTTAGGAGGGCTTTGGATCAAGCCATATCTTGTTGGCAGACATTCAAAGCCTTCTTAGAGTCCAGTTTGGATAATAAAGCCTTGACTTTTTAGTCTGCCATAGGGAGCTGCTGTTGATAATACTTGCCTTATTTTTGGTTGTGTGAAGCATCTTGCAATGACTGTTGCTAACTAGCCATTGTCTTACTGTATTATTTGTACCTCCTAATTTTCCAATAGTGAAAACTTAACCAAGCACATATAGTGTCATTATTTAGGGAAAAAGTATCCTAGAGACAAAACCATCTTTGTTGTGGAGATGGTCTTCTGTACTCTAATTTATATTTCAAATATCTACAATTAGAAAAAAAAACAAGCTGTGAATGGACAGTTTTACAATTACTTATAGGTATACGTTCTTGAAGACCACAGCTAGGAACAAAATCCTTTTTAGATGAGTTGCTGGTATATAAAATTATGGGACCTATCACCTATTTAAATTGTGAATATTGATATTTTCATAAGTAGACAATATATTGTGTTTGACAAACTTGTTTGTATTATAATAAATTATGGTGCATAACTTATTACTGTGTTTGGAGCTATTGCTTAATTTATGGATTCTTATGATATACTTCTGATTTAGAGATACTTACGATACACTACAAATAAGAGACAAAAAGTGGATGCAGAACCTCAAGAGACTGCTCGTGGAAGAAGCCAAATATTTCTTGAAATGAAAATTACTAACACTGCAGGCAAATGTAAAACTATCTGGGATCAAGTTCCTAATTTTGCTGGAGAAGTAAAAGGACATGAAAAGGACAAAAAATACTAAAACTAAGCAGAGACTAGAGAAGAATCTGCCCAGAAAAGTCCAAACAGTACAGGGTTAAGCACAGTGACAGGAGAGGACCATGCCCAACCTGCTTGTCAGATTTCCCTGCTGTAAAAGGCTTGGGAGCAGGTTTTAAAATACAGCTTCAGAGAGACAAATGAGGGGAAAGGGGCACTGCAGAAAGGGCAATGTCAGACAATGGAGCTTATCAGAGTTGTTCCTTAAGGAAGGAACCTGGGGTCTGCCTGTCTTGATACTTTCATTAACAGCTGTGGCATGAGAAGTACTGATGTAGAGGTTATAAAAATGGAATATAATTCCAGTATAACTGCTGGCAGAGGACTGAAGGACAGGTATTTCATGTAACAATCAGATGACCTTGCAGATTGCAGTGATAAAAATGGGATGAATTCAGTAGTAATAAACACAAAGTTCTCCACTTGTCTGCCTGTAACAGTACATTTGCTATAAAACCTCAGCAGTCAGAAGCAACCAAGAACCCCGTTGTGCCAGCTGGGCTTGAATGACAATGAGTCAGCTACAGAAAGCAGCTGAGAAAAATCCCAGAATGTAATCACAGACACTCCCAGCAATACAGCACGGTATTAATTGCATTTTATAAGACTTCATGTGCTATATGCATATGTATATAAAGAGATAAAAAGCAGTGCAGAAAAATAAGAAGTTATGAATTTTTCTCAGGTAAATTTATCCTGGAAGTTAGAAGACAGAAATGCCAAAGCAGGGAGGCTCAGCAGAAGCCTTGCTAGCAGCCCAGATCTCCCCAGTGGTTTTAAATGAAGCCTGGTGGGTTCATGTACAGAATTATGAGATGAGGCAGGTGGCAAAACACATTGGGACTGTGCTTCCTTGGAGCTGGCAGGGCCCTCACTCAGCTCAAAGGACAGCAGAGGTGTCCATTCATCCCATCTCAAGCTGAGGGGCAGCATGAGAGCCATGAGAGCCAGCAGCTGCTCAGAGCAATTCCTGCAGTAAAGCCACAATTCCCTCAGCAGCTCTCACTGTGTGTGCTGCAGGTGGGACCACTCCAGCACACCCCCACTGAACTTGCACCAGCTTCTGCCTCAGCTTCCAGCTCTTTAAACACCTCTTCAAGCCCACCAAGAAGAGTAGAATTTTAAAAAGCAGTCTCATATAGCCCTGAACAATTAAATAATAATCCCACTCTTAGCAGGCTGGGGCTGGATTTGCAGGATCTGCATTTCTGACAGCATGCAATTATTTCCCAGGAGTTGCCAGACACACCAAGGGAGTTGAAAGGCTCCAGTCTTTTGTAATAAATAGGCATCAAAAATGAATTTATTATTAGCTTCCTACAGGGAACCAAATACACATATATAGTTATTACAATTATAAAATTGTGTCAATATCAAAGGCTCATGTTTTCCTGCCTTACCAACATGCTAAAATGCTACTTCACCTATTTCTTCCAATCTGCACCTTCTTCTAGAAGACTAATGGACAAGATGAACTGCAGGCAAAAGTATGATATTGAATATTACAGTCCTACAGATTAATTTGCTTCAACAGAACATACTGAAGACCTTGAGCTGAGCATGGCTCAGCATTGGCTCATGCTGTACAGCAGCATAATGAAACAGCCCCTGGTCTGAGGGATATGTGGAGGTGTCTGCAGGGATATGTGGTGTCCAGGCAGAGCCTTGTGCTCCATCAGGTCCATCAGGGGCAGGCTAGCCTTGGAAAGGGGTCTTGGGAAAGGCAATGATGTGGCACAGAAAGAGGTGATGCCCTGCCATGGCAAGGAGAGAGACCCTGGCATGGGCTCTGCTGCTGGGCACAGCCCTGCAGATTGACAGTGGCCTTCAGAGTCCCAAACAAAAAGCAGCAAAGGCTGAGTGTCACAGGAGGGATCAGATTCTGGTGTTCTAAAATACAATTTCTCCCACCCTTCCAGTGTCACAGCACAGTGAGGCAGCCCATCCACAGGAGAGGTGCCCAGGCCCCTTGCAGATCTGCCTTGCAGGTGGGATTCCCCTCATGACATGAAGATTACTTTCATGTAGAAAGTCCCCACCAGCCACTCATCCCAGCCAGCAGAGAAAAATTCATCTCTCTGATGAAAATGCCCCTGAAAATGCCCAAAGTGCAGCAGAGGGGACACATGCCATGGTCCCAAGTTGTACATCATACAAACGAGGACAATGAACCCTGCCTCCACCAGCCACCCTTCCCACTTGGGAAAGGGCAAATAATTTAAACAGTCAAGACTTCCCTCCTGGATTTTATAACAGAGCTTGCAGCCCAGCCTCAAGACAACAAGAGGACTGGAGCCATTCAGCCTTGTGAATAAAATATCACCATGAGCCTGGTGACAGGCAGTGGCTTCCAGCAGCACCTTCCTAGTCATTTGTCACAGTCATCTTTGTAAATGCAACTGATTCTG